CGTTGTGTTCACTTCTCTCTTGGTCCGGGTTTAGCACTGGCTGCGGCTTCGGCAGCAACTCGGTGGATGTCATGCAATGGTTCGTCCACCCGTAGTTGAGGACTCGGTCCAGTCGACTGGCGGTTTCGTCTCGTCCGCATAATGTAAGTCACAACCAAAGACGAAGATTCCCCCTCGTATAGTCTCAACAGACTGTCGGGGCAAGTGCTGTTAGCGAGCAGCACCTATGAAGGCCGAAACTGCACACGGGGGTGGGGGGGGGGGCAGCACCACGTCCGACCGTCTTTGTCTACCTAGTTGGCGATATTCACACACCGCACCAGGTACTAATTTTAGGATGAGTTGACCTAGGGGAGGCCCAGGACCGGTTCACAACCACCACTGAAGGTCACACCAATTATATTTATGCTTCTTCTCTCGCAAGGGCTCCACGGTGGAATCCCCCTCGCTATCGTTAACTTTTTTCCAAGTTCTGAAAAACCATGCTCTAACGTGTTAACTCTCACACGGTATAGTCAACATGTCACTGGGGCTGTGTGTTGCTGGCCGCTCGGCGTTGTGCTCAGTAATTGCTTCGTTGTGTTGCCTCCAAAGAGAGATGCGCCCTCGAGTGAACGCGGCGCGCTGTTAAACAGAGGGCATTGGCTCGCCGCGCAAGTTAAGGCTTGGGCTCTCTGCCGTGCGCATCCGTCTCTGCTGCTGATGCTGCTGCTGCTGATGCGCACAGCAGCATCAGCAGCAGAGACGGACGGTTGGTTGGGACAAGCCAGAGGGAGGCGAAGCTGATAACTCCGAACGGCCCGAATGGCCCGTCGTTACGATCATTGCAAACGCCTGTGCGACCCTCACCACGCTTAGCTTGAGGGCTGCCCTGCTGCCACTGTGCAGTTGCGGCGTGCGGATGGTATTGCTGGAAAGACAGCCGAGCCTTTTGATGTGGTTTTGTTGTTGTTGTTGTTGTTGCAGCAGCGTTGATGGTTGGTGGTAAGAACAATAATTTCAACTTGGAACCGCAGCCGCACAGGATTCGCTCGCTCTCGGAGACAGGGCTGGAACGACTCAGAGGCGCCAGGAGGAGCAACCACAGACAAGCGGGAAGGCAATCAGCCATGCGCTGAGTCTGCGCCAACAATTTCCTGAGCTCTGCGGTCCTCTGTATATGTTAAATACGTATATTGAACTTTTTTTGCATCGTACGTAGGAAACTGCGCTAATCAGAGGTGCGGGGTGAGGACAACAAACTCAACACAAAAAGCAGCTCTACAGAAATTAGGTTTCAATCTACATGATGTAAAAGTGCATAGCTCATACGGCTTCCTAATATCCGAAGGGAGAGCGTTCCAGACGGCCACAAAAGCGCGTCTGAAAGTGCGCCACGCGGTGACCGCCGTCTTTGTTCGACGGCTAGCAGCCAAAAGCCGCCGCTGCTGCGAGGATGAGCGGAGTTCGCCTGATTGATGGTTCATGCTCCTCGACGAGAAGTGTTAGCGGCAAATTCGTGAGAATTTTCACGTGGGAGAAAACCGGTCAGAGGATGGCTGAGAGGTGGCAGACGCGGCTTGATGTAGGAGGCCTTCATCCAGCAGTGGATTAAACAGGACAGGTAGTAATGATGACAATGATGATGTTGTTGTTCACCTCCCCACTGTCTGGCGTGGAAGAGGAAGGAGGAGGTGTTTGTTTTGGAGCAGGTTTGTGTGTCGGTGGTGGCAGGGTGTGGTTGTACGGCGTTTCTAAAAACGGGTCCACTCAAATAGCAGGATGCGTATGCCGCGGAAAGCTCTTTCCGTCCGACAGGAGACCATTCTCCTAAAGTGTAACATGCAGGATGCTTTCTCAACCAATATTATCCATACGAGAGGGGATTTGGGTTAGATCGCGTGAATATAAATGCGTCGTTAAACCCGCCACCACCCGACACGTCCAATTAGTAAGGTTTGTCACTTAAACAGAACATGGGAATTCCAGAACATCTACATTTCGGGTACTCGAATTCGAATGCTCGAATTGTAGATGTTTTGGGATTTTTTTTCCAACATACCGGTGTGCTGAACTAGTAATACATTGTACATTTTAATTTTAATTGTATTTAATTGTATTATCTTTTATTTGTATGTTGTTTTCTATCTACGTGACTTTACCGAAAGAACCAAGAATATGAATTCCTGCAGTCACAAAAGTTTTAAGTAAATATTTAACCGCCTCTTTGGGGAGGGTTTCCACATAACCAGAAGAATTCCCTCATTAAAACACTACACCATAGAGCTCAATGTATCTCTGACCATGAACACCTGACCAGTGAATTCAAACACGTACACCAGGCTCTCAAAGCGAATGGATATTCTGACTACACAATCTGCAAAGCCATCACCCCAACTGTGAGGAAGGAGCCATCTGAAGATCCAATCAAAACCATCACCTTGTCTTACATAGCAGGGATAACCAAAAATATTTCCAAAATCTTGAACAAACACAAAATCCAGGTCCGATATAACACAATGCATACAATTCGTGATCTGATCCCATCTATGAAGGACAATATTCCTGACATGCAATATCCTGGCGTCTACAAACTAAGCTGTATCTGCGGCAGCAGTTACATTGGGGAAACTAAGCGACATGTCTCGGACCGTGTTTGTGAACACAAGGAAGATCTGAAACAATGCAGGACCAATACTTCTACCGTAGCTGATCATTACTTTAATGCGGCTGGCTCACATGAATTTGTTTTTATATCTACGTGACTTTACCGAAAGAACCAAGAAAATTGTGTGGGTTTTACTCTCCAACACACTGGTGTGCTGAACTAGTACCGAATTGTAAATATTGTGGGTTTTACTCTCCAACAAACCAGTGTGCTGAACTAGTAACGAATTGGCCACATCTTCTACGACAGTCAAACCCAGACTTCTCACTTTTTTTCTCCCGCTCGGTGTGGGTGTTTTTTTATTCTGCTGTTTGCACAAACACGGATACAGCCACACCGTGGGTCGATGTAGGCCTGCGGACCTTAAATAGTCGATGGATAAGTTATGTATGTCGCTCCCTTCACGCTTACAACTTAGTTTAGTGCACGGAATCATTGCGAAAAATTGGCACATCCAAAGGTAGCAACAGGGACATCTTTAGTGGTATATAAAATTATATATATACAGGGTGCTTAAAAAAATTACACTTCCGAGAATTTGCAACAATACCACGAGAAATATGCCTCCGGGCTCTGGAGACCACCTGGAGAAGATTCAAGGCATGTGTTATCAATGATGGCGAAGAAGTGGAGACTCTTTGACTCTTTGAAGCTATTAACATTTACATTTGTTATCATGTTACATTGTTGTATCCGTTATTTCCCCATTAAAAACGATAGACCCATATAAGTGTTACAATTGTTTGAAGCACCATGTATATATTTACACGGCTAATACGAGTGATTAATCTCGTACATCACCCACTCTAATTGGCCTCTGAAGGAAATTGGAAGCGTCAAGGTCGTGCCACCTCAGCTGGGACTGACAAGTTAGATATCTGATCTGGACTCATGGACCGCATCACAACAGAATGTATTCAGAATGAGAATATTTATTTTAGGCTGGAGGAAGAATCCGATGAGCTATGAAGTTATCTTTCGCAGATGTCCAGTAAGCTTTATTATGGGTTGCGTTATTGCTCAACCATCGCTCAGTGGGAGGTCGCCCATTCTCCTCTGCTGTGCCCATTGTCAGAACCCCCCACTCCTTCCCCCAGACATCTGTGCTGTCGACTCCCTGCTCCTACTCAAGTCCAGGCTCAAGGCGGTGGCGAGATGTTAACTCCCTCGCCTAGTATGCAGGAGGTTTTGGGTTCGATCCCAACCCTGACGCCTGCTGCATATTTGTAGTTTGCGTGTCTCTCTCTCTCTGGTCACGTGAAAATTTCTCCAGGTCCTCCGGTTTTTCCCCTCCACATTTAGAATCAACAATGACGCGTTTAGAGTATTTGGCAGATGTAAATTTCCACGCGATAATAAGACACTTCGTTGAGCTATCATTGGTCATAGCCAGGTCGCTTCTGAAAAAGAGCTTACATAGCTCAGTGGGCCTTACCTGGTAAAATAAAAACAGTTGAAAGTTGAGTTGTTATAGTTTAAGATGCTCCTCCTATTCTCTATTATCTGCCTGCTTGCCTCTTTCTCAAAGAAATGCGTTAAGACGCAGTCGCAATTAGACGCTGTATAGATCTATATTGAGTTGTACAGGGTGCCCCCCCCCCAATTGATCGAACCTGAGCGTTTTAATTTTCCCTTTGTATATTCATTTCTGATTTCAAATAAACTTCACTTGCAAAAATATTAAGTTTTAGATTAAATGGAGGGGGGGGGGGGTCATAAGACATCTGGACCACCCTGTACAACAGTTCTGTGTATTGCAGAATTGGGTTTCTTCAGGCATGTGCATCAATTACAGGGTGCGGTATAATTAAGAAAATATGCATTAAAAACACTAATAAAAATCTAAACAAACTGCAAGGGCTTGTTTTGTCTTTCCAAAATGCCCAACTTATAAAAACGTGCTTCCATGAACACATTTGTAATGAAATATAATGCGATATAACAACCGTTGTAATATGCTATTCGGTATAATAGAACGCGATTTTAAATGCCATACACACAAAATTAATCTTTGAAAAGCAGCTCTGCAATTGGCTAGTGCCGATCTCTGCCCCCCTCCTCCTGTGCCCCCCACCTCCCCCATCTTCGCCTCCCCCACAACCCAGCAAGCGACGTCCCCAGCGCGGAGATGCGGGTAGCTCCGCGCTGGGGACGTCGCCTCCTCCTCCCTCCCTCCTCCGCGACGGGGCGACTCTTCCATTGGACAGACCAACGGACAGACGTCCCCAGCGCGGAGCTGCGGGTAGCTCCGGAGTTTGCGGGGGAGAGGGGGGTAGCTCCGCGCTGGGGACGTCTGTCCGTTGGTCTGTCCAATGGAAGAGTCCTGGAGGGGAGGGGCGGAGGAGGAGGGGGCGGAGCAACCAGAGCTCATCGACAGGACGCGAGGAAGAATCCTCGGGGTGAGCGCTTTACCGTATTGGCTGTACCGTATTGGCGGGAGCGACGACGCGACTCTGCGCGCACACAAGACACGGACGGCGGGTGCCGCTTGAACGCCGCGATTGAAAACTCCTAAACGTTTGTGCCGTCGACGTGTGAAAGAACGACGACGATTCTTCAGAGCGCACTCGTTGGCGCGCTTTAGGCCGAAGCCTTACGCGTTTCCTGATTTGGCTGCGGCCGAGGGCTCGAGGGGATCCTTGGGTAGCGATCGGGAACGCGACCCCGTCCGTGGATGCGAAGCCGTCAACCCCTTTGGGGCCGTCCATAAATGACGTCACGCGATTTTGGGCGATTTTTTACCTCCCCCCTCTCTCCCTCTCTCGTCACACGGCGTCAGAAATGTCTGACCCCCCCCCCTCTCTAGGTGCGTGACGTCATTTATGATCGGCCCCTTATCACGGACCAATTCAGATCTTATTTCTAGATTTGAAGCTTTCGTGACTGCAAGGATTCATATTCTTAGGTTTTTTCGGTAAAGTCACGTAAGTAAAACATCAAAATTAATAAAAATAAAACAAATCACGACGTTTCGGAGGCCTCCGAAACGTCGTGATTTTTGTTTTATTTAATTTTTTATTAATTTTGATGTTTTACCTACGTGACTTTACCGAAAAAACCTAAGAATATCAGATCTTATTGGTCACCTCGTGCCCTTGTATATACAAAAAAAGTTTCATCACAAGGGAGAAACACAAATAGGTATTAAAAAAACACATTTGCCGGTATTGAAACGGCTGTACACCGTATGGACCTGAAAACTAGAATTCCCTGTAAAAGAATACGGGGTAAAACGTGTGGGTTGGCAAGTATTTATTTAAATTATATTTAATTAGATCGGAGCTCGTTGTGGTCGCGGTTGCGAGTGTAAATTAGCGACTTTGATTTGAAGGAGTTTCTCATTTGCGTCTCGATGTGCGTCTCGCACGTGCGGCCTTGATAGCAACAGTGGTTAGGGGCCGTCCCTAAATGACGTCACGTGATTTTGGACGATTTTTGACCCCCCCCCCCTCGTCACACGGCGTCACAAAAAGTCAGACCCCCCCCCTCATATATGACGTCACAAAGCTCTGCCCCCCCCCCCCAAATAAAACACGCTTCAAATCGCTTTAAACTATTGTCGTTGTAGTGCGTATTTAATGTGGCGCTGCACTCTGACGTTGTAGGAGAAAACATTAAAAAGTCGATTTAATTAAGTAGAACGTGTTGTCTATATTTATTTAAAGTTGCGCATTTTGATGTGGCGTCACATTTCTCAACCCCCCCCCCCTCGTCACATCGTCACAAATGTCTGATCCCCCCACCCCTAGGTGCGTGACGTCATTTATGGACGGCCCCTCGCACGTGCGGTCGTTCTGTCTTGTACCGGCCCTCTGTGTGTAAGCGGTCTTGATAGCAACAGTGGTTAGCAGAACGGCGCTATTTAACATTGATTCCACGCCACGGCTGACATCAATCGTGAATGATATCTGATCTGGTTATGCACCCCCCCCCCCCTTACCGCTCCTCCCCTTATATAACCTTCCCTGACCAGCGTGGTGAAATGTTATTAAGATTATAATCTGGCTGCTATAAAGTTACACGTGATAAGCCGCTTCGCTGAGCTATCATTTGTGGCCAGGTCGCCTCAGAAAAAGAAGCTAATATTGGGGCTTTAACTGGTGAAAAATATAAAGTTAATACTTTTTTTAGTTGTTTGCTTACCTTTCGTATACTTTGCACGCGTGTCGTGTATTTGTATTGTAACTTTCTGACCCGCCCCTACTCGAAGTCTGATAAAGAGCTTTGCAGCACATCGGATTTATTCAGTATAAATATGCAGATGAAGGGTGGTCAAAACAGCCCCCAAGACCAACAGTGTGGGAAGACAATAATCAAGCAATGGATTTTCCAAGGGCTGACTCGTGTTACGCTTATTGAGATATATTTTGAATTAAGGTTTATTCAGATTTAGCACTCTGAATACTTAAAATATAGAGACAGTTATCATCAAGATAGAGACAGTTTTTTTTATCTTGTGTATTCAATCACCATTAACTTAATGAAATGCATCAATGTAAAATCATTGTCAATTATATACCATTACCCTGCTTTTATGTACTGGCCATTGCTGCTTAGCGGTAGAAAATGTCATTAAATTGCATGCTTTATGGATGTTGACACTTAAAACGCGGCTTTTCTCGTCTAAACTGCAGCGGCACATGCTGAAGATAATTAAGGAGTGTTAGGAATACTTGCTTGTAATTGGAAACATAACAATAACGTGCACTTTCCTCCGCGCGCTCATTGCTGAGCACCGACAAAGGTTCTCCAGGTTGCACAGTTTACACTGCTTTCAACTCGCCCACGACTCTTTCTGGTGTGGTGACCTTTAAAACAAATTGTTTTGAGTCTCAATTGCGCGGAGCATCTGCTGCCACTCCTTTTATTTAATTTCGAGAACGCGGGGGGGGGGGCGGGGGGTCAAGCGGCTTTTCATTAACGAGTCCATTTGTTTCAACGTTTTTTTCTCTCCTGGAAACTCAAACATCCTTTGACCCTTTATTGCAGACTTGGTGCCACTCGCTGGGAATCATCCGATCCCGGCTCTCTTTTTTTTCTACCTTTAAAGAGCGGAATGACAAACTGCCAGAGCCCAGGAACGGCCTCTTTTGGAGAGATAATGGGAAAATGTCACATCGCGTGAGGCTCAAGGTGTGCGCGTGCCTGGGGTCTGCAAGGCGCACGTGATCCTCGTTGAGCACGGGGCCTGGAGAATAGAGTAACTGCCGTTAATTTATGACGCGGCGGTGCCCTTTGCTTCCTGTTTCTGCCATCTGTTGTCCTTCAGCAGTGAATTTAATGAACTTGAGTCTTTTATATATATATATTTTCTCTCTTAGAAGGAAACTTGTCATCTAGGGGGCCTCTAAATTATTAACATTCACCCTTCCAGCGCTGACTTGTGCGCCTTGCGCGACGATACAAATGTTGCCTTTTAAAAGGCTTTTGACAGATTCTCATAACGAAGGCCAAGATAAAGAAAAATCAATCCACGAAAGTCCGTTCACATTTCACGTTGGTATTGATGACACATTAATAACAATTGGCATGCATTCTTCCAGCCATTTGCAAAGTCCCCGTGCGTTTCCCTTGCCGGTTAAATATAGGGGTGCGCAATCTGATGTGCGCTTTATTTATTATATAACAAGATGCAGCATATGAGTAGTGAGTTTCCACGTCGGAAGGGGAAGCGTGCCATGGGCGTTGATTCAGACGCGTTCCCAGGCATTCGTAGCGTCAGATGCCAAGACGCAGTTGGTGATCGCCCATATGCTTCAGTCCGTAAACATTGATCGCTGCGGCCGAGGGTACGACATTTAACTTCGCCCGGCGACAGAGCAATCTTTCCACCCGTCCCTAGCGAGCACAGGGCGTCCTCGGGATGCGTTTGACATTTTTCTGACGAAAAATAAGAGCCAGACGTGCCAGCTGTGGGCAGGCCGCCGGTCCGTGCCTATTGTCCACGAAATAATTTTTTAAAAACAAAAATGGGGTAAAAAAAAACAAATAGATGATATAGCTTTGTTTTTGTACTATTATCATCAGCTCAGTTTTGTTTTCTTTACAACTTGTTTTGTTTTAATTGGTTCAAATTTACACTGCGTCTCATTTGTGATATTTAAATGTCACAAATGGCGATGTTTGCAGTTAAATTTTTTTTGAATGATTTTGACACGTAATGGGTGGAACAGTGGTTGGTGCACCGTGCTATAAACCCGGTAAAAGGTGAGTTCCATTGCCAGCCTTGGCTAACATCAGTGGCGAGTTGATATCTGAACAAGTCCTAAGGGCACCCACTCTACCTACCCAGATTAACGAGCGCAGTGATATATGTTCAAATAATTCCCCATACAGCAATTAATCAAATTGTTTTTGCTTGTTTCATTCTGTACCCAAAGTTAACCGACTTTTGGCCTTGTGTGTTGAAACCTATCCCCTTTCGCACAGATGCTGAGGACCCTAAATCACCCAGGGGTAAAGTGTGCCTTTGTCTCTCTTCGGATCGCACACCGACGCGCTTTCTACCTCCCGTGGTGTTTCGAACGTTTATGGTGCATTTTATACACAGCTCACTTGGGCTGTGTGTTCACACGCGTCGGTGGAGGTCATAGATTTATTACGGGCTGTTGCACTGAGCTGTGCGATAGCCTTTCCCCCTCAAAACGTCTTCTCTGTTTAGTCCTTTTTTTTTACTATAGCAGAGACGCACAGCAGACCGCAACAGAAATTTTTGGGTGTTTTTTTTTGCATCTTAAAGGCTTCATCCTGTCTTGCCGATGTTTTTTTGTTCATTTGGTCTGCCGTTTGTTCTGCTGTTTGCGCAAAAGAATGAGCAGGGGCACGGGTCGAAGGATGTGACATTGCCACGAGACGATGCCATTGAGATAGCACGACTTTGAAGACACGCTCTGCTTATAAACTTACCACCCCGCCAGGAACTGACTCAGAAGTGATTCGGATATGTTTATGAGCAACATTAGGAATTTACGGTGCGGCAAAATAAAATTCAAGCGTAGAAGAAGCGTTATTTTCAACGGCTTAAACAATCCGTGACCGAAACTACTCATCGTGACTCTTTTTTGTTTTTGCAACTCCTTGTCAGTCTACTGTTGGATGAAGGCCTCCTTATGCCATGTCAGCAATGGAGGTTATTTAATCATTCATCACGGGTTAGTGAAGGGGGAATTGAATCTCGATACTTTTTTTTCGGAAGTTTGCATTGGGATATTTGACCAATTCCATGAATGAGTTTTTAGTTTCATATGGGAGTAAACCAGAGAACTTGAAGAAAACCCAGCAGGAATATAAGGGGGTGATAGCACTACCAACTGGACACCGAACAGCCCTCTGGCTTCTTCTTATATTATTTAATTGTTTTATTTTTATTATTTTATTATTTCCCTTCTACGCGACTTTACCGAAAGAACCAAGAAGATGAATCCCTGCAGTCACGAAAGCTTTACATCGAAATTTAGCCCTCTGGCTTTTTGAAGAGGAAGACCCAGGTTGGTTTAGATATGACCCAGTGTTGATGTTAGCCACGGACGTGAATCGAACTCGGGTTGATTGGTTCATAGGTCAGTGCGCTAACCACTCCACCACCGCTCCATTCTAAAACGCTGACGCACAAATGGCTCGGCTGTTTATTCTACTGCAACTCACATCCTCCCGCAATGATTTATAGCCGCATGCTTTCGTTTTATTTCATGTGTGTTGTGGTGCAAGAGCTACGCGTGTGGTGCAAGAAAATACGCTCTCGGTATCTGCGTTCCCACCGTGGGAGCCTTGCGTGTGCTCTTTGCACTCTGCACGACGCTGCAGGTTCGTTGAACGTGGCGCTGGGTTTGGTTCGAACCTGTTTCCCATCTGACGAAGGGCACATGTCGGCCTTGTACCGAGCCGCACGATGCTCCTCATGCCACATGTTTCTCTCCTGGAGGAAGAGAAACATACGTCTTGGCCGTGTTGAGCATTCGCAGTGCAGTGAGTGGGAAAACATGGGCCATGTTTTGATTTTGAGGGTTTTTTTGCCAATGTATAGTCTCGGGTTTTTCGATGGCAATGGGATTTCGTGCTCCCGAAGGAAAAACAAACTTTTTTTTGTTTCTCAACATAAAGAAAATGTACGCACACTTTTACACATATCAATCAGGAAACATATGGAGACAGTTTTATTTGCAACGCGTTGAAGTGAGGAAATTTTTTCTAAGCAAAATGCTCCTTTTTTGATGTGGCGAGTAGTGACACCAAAAAGAGTTCCAAAATTCAAGATAAATTACGTAGGCGGTTTCCAATGTTTGCCTTCAGGCAAAGATATTTTCTTTGCAATAATATCCTGAACTAATTGCTTAATGTGGCTTTCCAAGTCGAATAATGTCAATTTGTTGCACACAGGGGCTTTTTGTGCAAAACAAAACAGCTATATTTTCTAAAGCCCTTTTAGTACAGGCCGGATTGACTGGCAGGTGTGCCAGTTCTCTGTTTCGCTGCAGAGTAAAACAAAGACAAACGTGGACACTACAAAGATAGAGGTCCCCTTATAGCTGCCCAGGCTGTTGGGGAAAGTGCAGGGCAGCACAATGGTGTGGCTAGCACTACGCCCGGGCCACCTTTGTCTAACCGCTGACAATGTTCACACACCACACCAGGTACTCATTTAATGCTGAACCAACTTAGGGGAGGCCCCACGACAGGTTCAGACACCACTTTGCCATTGATGCCAGTCAAGGTCAGGATTCAAACCCAAGAAACCGGTTTTGTAGTGTAGCGCGCTAATTACCGCACCGCCCCTTGCCACACGCACACATGCTCGTACAGCGCAGGACGTCCATATGGCTTTTTTTTGAGTCGCTGTAGGTGGCTACATGTTTTGCTTTTAAAAGCCGAGCCTGCTCTTTGCGAGCAATTTCACAGATCATTTCCCCATTCTTTGAGCGTCATACACACGGGAGTGGTGTTCAATCACTGCGTCCGTGTTTTATTTGGAACACGCCCTCGTGAAAATGTCTCGGCAGTCGGATTGAAGGATAAGGTTTGGATATGAACGCCTAATAATGTGTATGAGAGTAAAGGTCGACTTGGCACCAACGCTCATTGCAAAGCAGACAAAGCCTAAATTTTTCAAGGTGCAACAATGAGCTTGATTACATTTTTCACAGTATATTCCCCCCTTCCCCCCGCTCCATCTACTCTCTTACTTAAGTTCTTGCCTCTCCCTCCCCTCCCCACATAAAAGTACACAAACCTCGCTCATGGTCCCCACTCGGAGGGGCAGCAGCGATCTCAATCTCGTCCCTCCTCGAAATCCAGGAACACGGCGTTCGTGACTTTTGTCCACGGAGTTTATGTATCTCTGCATACTCTGCTCACACCCCTACCCCCCCAACGTTCGTGCTCTGTACCGGGCTCCTACTGAAATATATATATTTTTTAATGTATTCGCGCGCCCCCTTGCCTGATGCAATACGCCGACACGAGAGGCACGGAGATTTCAACCGTGACCAGGGATTGATGGGATTCGATTCAATTAAATAATCCTTTGATTTTCATCCAATTAACCACCCCCCCAGCAACCTCATCTCGTATTTATTGTTTCATGGGTTTTTTTTAACGCCTTATTTGTACCGTTTTGTTTACTCCCGTTAGACTAGATGCAACGCTAGCTTATGCATGTGCGTGTGTGATTTGCGTTAGCATATCATTTGCTGGTGAGATTGACCATGATGACGATCGTCGCTTATCGCCTGTACACTTTTCTGAGACGCCCAATGAGCATATACGTCTTTATTTGCAAGAAATGCCTGCCTATAATAAACATACAATGTGCTTTTGCACGCACAGGAAACAAAAGTTTTGGTTCTGGGCTGAAAAATAAATCGTGTAGGTTTTTTTAAATTTTCTGAAATGTGTTAAAACAACCCAAAAAAAACCAGAAACCTGTGAAGTAAAAAATAATAATTTAAAACAGCGCGAGGAAATAAAAAAAACCCCCATTAAATTTTTGATTCGACAAAAATCGTAAAAAAAAATGTTGAAAAAAAAACCAGGCACCTTAATCGCAGAAAATAAATGCGGGGGGGGGGGGGGGGGGGAAAGGGCCCCTCAAGAACACCGAGCCCTGTGTTGCGCTCTCGGCTTCTGGTTTTCATTGCCGTGGGCGCGGTGCGGGCGCGCGGCTGGCAAACGCCATCGCTCGCCAGGCTCGGGTTCGCTGCCCCGTTGTCAGTCTCGCGCCCGTACGCTCGTCTCCTTCGATCGACCCAGGCGTATCTCGTCTGGAACTTGACGTCGCTGCTGACGCCAGAGTACCGTGTCTCTTGCGAGTTATTAACTACTTCGCCTGGTATGCAAGAGGTCGTGGGTTCGATCTCGATCCTGACGCCGGCTGTATATTTGGAGTTTGCGTGTCTCTCTCGCCGTGGTCATGTGGATTTTTCTCCGGGTCGTCCGGTTTTTCCCTCCGCATTTAGAACATTTGACTGTTACACATTTCCACATTATAAGCCACTGCGTTGAGCTATAATTTATGGCCAGGTCGCTTCTGAATAAAGAGCCGTATAGCTCAGTGGGCCCTACCTGCTCAGCCCGTATATATTAATCCACTGGTGGATAAGTGCATCTCCACACCATGCGGATCGTGGGGGGAGGGGGCATTTGACCGGACTTCCCAATGCTAAATGGCGCGAGGAACATAGATATTGGAGCATAGTGCAGTACAACTGATTTTGCTGCACTGCCCTCTGCTGACAATATAGTACTGCAGCATTTATGTTCCTGGTCACCCATTAAAGCACTATCCAGGCTCAATTCTACTTAGCTTACGAGGTGATGAGGATGCTGATGATGATGATGAATAATGACGATCGTTGCAGCACACGATGGGCGAGGAGGGCGAGGTCATCAGGCTGCACCTGTCATCTGACCCGGGGAGCACTTACTACGCCCTTGTGACCTGGAAGAAGAACAGCCATCAGGGATTGAACCTGAGCCTCACCGACTGCCGGACGGCCTGGACAGGGGAAGGTTCGGCCTCACCGCTTGATGTTTGCGCATCTCCTCCTTCGCTCCCTAACGCAGCGATCGATCGCCACACGGACGCAATTATGCCACCCGTCACGATTGCGTGCCGACAAAACCCACCGATTTAACATCGGTGTCTTTCCCTGCAAGAGCAGCATCGACCCAGCTTGTATGGGAACATCCTTTTTGTCTTTTAGCTAAGCTCACCTGTGTGGTTTGCAAGCAGCTCATGTCCCCATGGCGAGTACGGTGCACGTTTTCGGAAGTGTCCCAACCATGCCACCTGTGGATGTTTCAGGACTACGGTAACGTTTCCCGTACTGACTAGTTAATCAACCAACAAGCTGACAAGCAACCCTGTAAAGAGGGCCTCTTGCTTAGTCATTGCATTTAACTGCAGAAAGAAATGTGCGCCTAGGAAAATACACTGACACGCCCGGAAACATCCATATCACAAACAGATAGCTTATTAATCTGCTCATTACCCACAACAACATCGGAGAAGACCATCTCGTTATAACTACAATAACCTCTGCCTCGCTTACTGCAGAGACAGCAGTGCAGTGGGGCTCTCGTTCGTGCCATTCGACAATTGACTCGGGTGTCGAACCGTCGGAAGTGATCGAGTGCTCGTCGGTGGTGCGCAATCCGCAGTGACCAGCTCCAAACTGGAGGAGGAGGCGTCGGAAGCCGGGCTGTCGCTCGTTGACTACGTCGCTGAGCTCCGGGCCGCCCTCCTGGGCCACTGCTGGGACTCGTCCTCCAACGGAGACCTCTTCCGCTACGACCTGAAGCCCCCCGCCAGCCCCGGGCGCGCTCGCCGCAGGTGTTTCTCCATCTGCAAAGTGCACAGCGACGTCACGGTGAGGCTCGCGCGTTGAGCGTTGCGATTTTTGGGGAATGTTCAGGATAATTTTTGTTGACGGTAGCGGGGGGGGGGGAGCTTCTCCGTTGGCACCTCGGAAACTCCGAGCGTAATTCCCCACCCCCTCCCCTTTGCTCTTGTAACCAAGGAGATTATTACTTTTGTTTTGCTAGATTTTGAACCTGCATTTCAGATGCTTTAAAGATGCGGTTAATCGTTAAGAGTTATCGGCTACCTGGTTTTTACTTGGGCATATTACGTCAGCCAATTTAGGACTGCAATTTCAGATAATATTTTCCCCGCCTTTCTTGCTGGGTGACAAATAGTCGTAAAATACCACGCGTGTTGGAAAGTTCCCGATCACACGTACTTATCCAAGATGGGATGGTGGTGATGGTGCACGCGGATTCGTGCACGCGCCATCGATCTATTCCATAACTAAGCCAAATCTTCGAAACATATAATTAATCATCTTCAAAGTGACACCCCGGACGTATTGCTGGAATGATTTTTTAATATATTTACAGAAAGTCTTCGCTTAACGCAGGAGATGCGTTCCTGAAAGTGCCGTGTTAAGCGACAAACATGTTGAGAGAACACTATTTCCCCATAAATAACGTGACGACAACGTTTGGCGAGATGGCGGGACAAATAACTGAGTGTACGCCGCCGCGGTTCCGTGTCATTCATCGTGCTCTATGACTCCGCTCAGCCGTGCAGCTCAAGAAAGTGGTTCGCCGTCGACCGCTCGGTAACCGCGTTATAACGGTGCGCGTTCCACGTTTTGCGAAGACTGTTCCCGAATGGAAGAACCGCGTTAGAGTGAAAGAGCATTGTAGTGTAAGCACTGCTACGCGTTCAGCGAGGACTTACCGTACACTTCTCTGTGCCGGTGGGAATTGGTGCGCGGCCGACTGTGGCAGCTCCTGGCGCTTGATGAATGGCCTCTAAAAATGCCAACACGTAAGCCCCCCGAAGCCTCTCTTTGTTTCAGGCGCCGGGCTTCGCATGTTCTGTGTTGACTATCGGTACGTTTTTGGCACGGTAGGAAGGTGCGTTTTTAAAAGTTGATCATTATACATTTTTCTTACAGGGTCTTTGTTATGACAGTTGTTTCAACTTATCCACTTTTCTTCCCTTTTCGATAATTGTTTTGTTGTCCTGACCAATCGTCTTGGGGGCAGTGGCTATTATCACTGGCTAGCGACATCTGAACCCTGTACCATCAACCCGCACTGACCACGTGTCACACAACAGGTGATGTACCCACCATAGGTAGGTGTCTATAGAACGAGACCTGCTGGTCTTTTTTGAGTTGAATCTCCCTTTAGAATCAGAATCTTTATTTAAACTGGAGGACTCCAATGAGCTATCAAGCTCTCTTTCACAGATGTCCAGCAGGGATCGGTCAGAATGTTCCAACAACAAACAATACAAATTCACGATAGGAGTGCAAACTATAGGTAATGTAAACAAATCACTTAAAGAGTGTATACAAATAAAACTAAACTCTTTTTACCTTACCATGTAACGCCCACTGAGCTATTAGCTTATTTTGCAGACGCAACCTGGCCACAAATGATAGCTCAACGAAGTGGCTTATCACGTGGACATTTATAGCAGCAAAATAATCTTAAATAATCGAAATGCATGTTGATTCCAAATGTGGAGTGACAAACCGGAGGACCCGGAGAAAAATAATCCACACGACCACGAGGAGAGAGACATGCAAACTCCAAATATCCAAGCGTCAGGGTCGGGATCGATCCCCCAACCTCAATGAAGTGGCATGTCGCAACGCATCTCTACGTTACGCTCGGGTCAGCCGATGCCACCCTACACGTACAGACGAGACAACGGGTGGCTTAAATTAGGGTTGCTTTCCTCTGGCATTGCTTCCCACTGCTCCAGTAACAGCAGCTCACGAGTCGAACATCAAAGCGTTCCCTTTTTCAAATTAGTGGTGGGCGGTGTTCATCTTCGTTGGTGGTCCCTCGTCCAGTGGTGTTAAATTCCACATCCCTATGGCAGGGTCCAGTCGCTTCATAGCAGAGCTACTGACTTCCCACCAACTACTGCTGCCTCAGCAGGTGGTACTTATTTTACCCACCACAGAGGAATGACGATGATGATGAACATTTCTATGAAATCTCCCTACTGTTCTCTCATACGGGGTAATGCTCTTCCCCCCACGAGACTTTCGAAATTTGCAATATAATGGTAATATACGCAGCGGCGTATCGATCAATGACGATGGCGAAGACGAACATCATGTCGATGACGGTGACGCCCGATGACAAACTTGCACACCCTCGCGATCACGAACGCAGATTTTCTTACCACGATGGCGACCGCTGGGCACGTCAAACACTCATGGCGTGGCTCACTATTGCCGGAGAATCGGGAGGAGGAGGAGGAGAAGACACAGGTGCGACGGGAGGGGCATCCCCCGAGCCTTGTTCACATATTTGTTTCGGCCAGGATCGGGCTGGCCCGGCAGGAAATTTGCGTCCAGGATTGTTTGTTTGCCTTGGTATGTGCAGACAGAAAAGAGCCTCCAAACAGACGGGTTAAGAAAAAGGGGGTTAAGAAAAAAGGGGGGAACAAAAAAAACCCACTGCTACAGGCAAGTGCCTGTCCTCTCGTATTTACCCTGCTTCCGTTGTATTTGCAGTCAATACACAATGGCCGTGTTGATGGTGTGCATTCTGCGGGTTTGTGTGGCCGGGAGCCGATGGTCCCCTCCCGTCCACGCCCGCCCAACGACGCCACCCAACCCCAATGGGCCCTCCGCTGTCCAAACAGCTGTCTGTGGTGGTGGCTCGCTGGCGATGGGCGGCAATCGCCTGTGGGGGGGAGGACACCTGAGCAAATATCGGGTATTGTGTGTCACCGTGCGAGCGATTGCCAAGGGATCCCCACTGAGAAACACAAAAAAAAATACTTTGGCGGAGGAGTTGAGCACTAATTTTGGGGCGGTGGTGTAAATTTGCCTGGCCCGTTTCCAAGGGCCTGGCCGGACCGTAAAACTGTCTCGACTGGATTTGTGACGCGGCCTTAATGATGGACCACGAAGCACACTGCATAGTCTGAAACTGCCGCTAAAACAATGCCTGCCCTTGTTTGATTTTTTTGCTTTAATTAATGATTTCCTTTACATTTTTTATGTTGCGCGAATTTTCGCACAATTGCTTGCACACAACAACTGCGTGTATTGTTAAAAAAAAAATAGCCAGCCTAGCAGGTTTTTTTTCTAGTGGTCCTGAGCCGCAACTTGAAGCCAAGTTTTCAGCCACCTTTACAGCTGTGGCCCACACTGAATTCATCTGGGTGGCTCAGTGCTGAGACATTCCATGTTTTAGACTTACATTTTGGCTTTCGTCTGGGCTGTCATTTTCCAGCCAAATATTTTAGGTGTTTACGTTGTCCGTCGTGCATGCTCGCGCGCGTGTATGTGTGTGCGCTCGCGTGTGCACAACAGTGTGTTTCTCTTCAGAAAAAAAAAACTAAACAAATGTAATTCATCAGAATTGTCACTGGAAGAATTAACCAGACCTGGGAATGCAATTCGGTGATCAACGTGTGCACGTGTAGCTTGGGGTCGGCGTGCTCGCAGATATTGGTTTAGTTGTCGTTGTTGTTGCCCTTCGTAGTTTCAAACAATAGTTTGAAACATATTTTGTGAATTTGTATCTCCGCTGCTGAATGGAAGATGTGAAAGTGGTTAGGAGGGGGACAGCAGCAGTTGCTTACAGACTGTGATGGGCACATGTCATGGTTTAAACCGGGTTCTCAAGTGCGGGGAACTCATTGTGCGAGTCCAGTCACCATCATTGCGCAAAAAAATTAAACCGTTAAATTACATTTTTCACTTAGTTTGGCATATTCCAATCTCTGAGAGTTAAACATTGTACTTTTTATCAACTCGAAGCCCTTGCAACATAGTGCAATCGTTCTAGATTTGAAGTTTTCGTGACTGCAAGGATTCATACTCTGTTTTTTTTCGGTGACTTTACCGAAAAAAACCAAAGAGTATAGTGCAATCGCCCCGTGTTAAAGAGTGGTCTTCGGAAGGTGATGTCATAGAACTACGTCTGAGATCCCTTCTAGTGACCTCTTATCCACACAAGGGATCCCACACTTTCCCACGCGCCCTGCTATGCAGATGTTTGTTGCTTGTTGATCAAACAAAAACCACGTGTCTTTTTTTTATTCTCACGGCTGGAATATTTGCCAAATTAAGCAACAGCAGAAAAATCTCAAACGTAAATACGATGGGCGGTTTTGGTCTAGTCGTCGGTGATTAGTCTGCGATCATTCGTTGCTTCCGCTCTAGCAAATCAGTTTGATCAGGAAACCTAGCCGAGAACGCAGGATGATGGCGGCGCCGGCCCAGCGCTCGGTTTGCCCGAGCCACCTGGCCACCTTCTACGAGCGCTTTTGTTTTCTCTAGGTCGCTCTTTCTTGAACGGAGCGATGATGAGAGAGAGATGCAACGGATGCAAAGATCGAAATCGCGCTCTCCTCGCCGTGGTTTGTCCCCGAGGACTGCTTGAAGCTCGGCAGAGTCAGACAGAGACCCCACATGCCGCCTTGCAAAATCTTGGCCCATGCTTGGATTTTAATTGCCATCTTTAGACTCAAGGCTTGTGTCATGTGGCTGCTGGCACGGAGTAATATTGCGGGCTTGATTTTTTGCGCGTGCGCGCGCGTATGTGTACGTGCCTGCTAAAGTTAACTTTAGTCTTGCTTTTTTTGGATGCGGACTTGTGTCTTTGTTTGTCTGCCTTTGTACTATGACATCTGGTTGCTGATCCCTGCATTGCAGTCTTGTCAGTATCTTTGTTTCGTCTGCTTGCATCATTAATCCTTTGAAGATCCTCGCTCCGGTATAACCAAATCGTAAATCAAACTCTGCGGAGGCAAGGAGCATTGAACTCCGGCTGAAACTACGTGGGGTCCAAATCCGTACATCCCTAAGGCGCATGCTTTGCAGGGTTGTGAAACGATATCCGCTAAGCTGGTAACCGTTTTCAGAATCGAGTGCACCGATTGACACGCGCAGAACGTTCAAACGGCACGACGGCCCAAGCCATTGCGCGGAACATTTGGCGTTTCTCAGTTAAACGGAAAAGGTGCAGCCTTGCAATTACTCGCTTGCTTACTTGCGCCACTGCCGTTTTTTTTGTACTTTGATAATAAATGAAAACCTCGATATTTCAAGAGCCGCCAATGCAACGTGAATGCGAGACGGTGGTCCGAAATAAATAACGCCACAAGGCAGGAGTCCTTGAAGAGCCGCATGCTGCTCCACATCCGCAGGTTGCCGAGCCCCAAGCTGTGGTGTGTAAGGCTGTGGGACATGATCCCTGGAACTATTACAGATGTTGTGTGTTTTTTTTTCTTGTGCAGTCACCTAGTTTTTAATGCCCATTGCTCAGCTAATATAGATGATATTCGTGACTCATCAACATAGCTGGCTGCTGACTGGATCTGCTGATTGCCGCCATTATTTACTCACGTAATACAACATATGACATCAGGAACAGTAAATTGGTGGTGGTGGTGGTGTACAAAATAATGTTTGAGGATTCACAGAGTTCCGTGAGTCGAGAAAGTTTGGGAACCAATAGTCTCTGCTGAAATACATGCATGCACATCTATACGCGTGTGTGTGTGTGCGCGTGTGTATGCACCGTGTGTATATATGTCTGAGCATTTCACAAAGTGTAGGTAGTCACGCTGAAACTTTGTAGACTGCAGAGCTGATTCGTAGGCTCAGGCTGTTTACCGACTTTACATTGCCACACCGCGGCCATACAAATAAAGTCACAGATTAGAAACCTGTGCTCAGAGTGATGATATGTCGTCTATATTACGCCGTTGGTATCCATCTTTTTACAGCAAGGCCTCGCTCAATATCCTGCATCACGACGTTTGGCCAGTTTCATTTTAAGGGGCGTTTTACAAGGTTATCACATGCTGCGGTCCAGGGAGATGAGATCACGATCCCATTTCCTCCACTGCCATCGCTTGGCCACCTTCGCAGGCCTGTGAGAATTTTGTACCTAATCTGGCCCAGTGGCACAGTAATCACAGTACATGGCTCGCAGTTGGAAAGTTGCGAGTTCACATCCCACTCTAGGGTTTTTACTCGGTTATTAACTGGTAAATGCTGGCTGGCCATTGTGTTCCATTGTCTTTACCCCAACTCCACGTTTTGAAAATTAACCATAATTATTGTGCAGGTATTTTGAAAACTCGAGAGAGAAAATTATATCAGTGGCTCTTGCATGGTTATGCAAAGGGCAGTGAAATGATGCAATTGATTTGGTCATTGTTTGCTGACAAAGCTGGATGTGAATTCTGTTTTCTAAATTCTTGTACCGTATGCATGTTTTGTTTATCATGGCTTTTGTTTAGATTGATCGTAGTGTTGTAATGGAGATGTTTAATGTGTTTGCTTCACGTGTGCCTTACAGCTTTCATGTTAGCGCGTGTATTTAAAAATGCGCTACGGAAACAAACTTCAATCGACTGATTTTTTGTTTTGTTTGTGTGTGTGTGTGCGTGCACGCACGCACGTGTGTGTGTGTGAGTGAGCTATATGAGGAGCGGTAGTGTCGCGGTTAGCGTGGTGCGCTACGAACCTGGTGACCCGAGTTCAATGCCCACTCACGGTCAACACCAGTGACGATTATCTGAATCAGTCATGGGCCTCCCCTAGGTCTACTCAGCCTCAAATTAGTACCTGGTGTCATGTGTAAACATCACCACTGCGGAGACAAAGACGGCCGGGCGTGGTGCTGGCCACCCACCCCCTCGTATGCCGTACCAGCTTTTATAGGTGCTCGCTAACAGCACTTGCCCCAATAGTCTGTTCAGGCTATACGGGGATATTTGTCTTTTTGTCTATATAGGGAGCTCACACACATACATTTGTTAGGAGGCATGAATGGGCACAGCACAGGCTCGTGGAAAGATGGGCAGTTGTGGTACAGGAGGACCTAGAGCTGAGTGGACTTGGCAACCGCTGACATCAGTGCTGTCAAAATTAGCCATGGTGGAAAAGGCCCGTGAAAGATTCTACTGGGTGGCTGTTTAGCAGATGCCCTCCAGCAATAATACGAGGCAGAAGAACGGGCGCTCGGAACAATAAGCAGAGCATCAGGCGGCAGATGACCCCTTGACCTGTTCTTGCCAGCAAGCCTTCGACCCTCCACGTGGTCTCAACATGTATCTAGCCCGGTACGAGCACGTGTGTCAGCGATGTCGCTGCCGGCTTATCGGTGAACGACTGTCTGACGCCGCAGTGGCGAGATGTTTACTACCTCGCTTGGTATACAGGAGGTCGTGGGTTCGATCCCGACCCTGACGCCTGCTGCTGTATATTTGGAGTTTGCATGTCTCTTTCCCCATGGGCGTGTGGATTTTTCTTTGGGTCCTCCGGTTTTTCCCTCCGCTTTAAAAATTCACACGCGTTTAGAGTATTTGGCTGCTATAAATTTGCACGTGATAAGCCACTTCGTTGAGCTATCATTTGTGGCCAGGTCACCTGTGATAAAGAGCTGCATAGCTCAGTGGGCCTCACCTGGTGAAATAAAAAAAAGTGTTTAGTGCGGTAATGAAAGACTTTCGAGGACAAAGCGCATGTCGGATAGCTGCTACGCGAACCCCCACGTGACAAAACGCGCGATTTCCCCCCCCCCCGCCCTCACCGCTGACTCGTCCGTCCCCCCCCCCCCCCCTTAATCGCACCGCGGCGCTGGCAGTTCGAGCTGGGCACGGTGGAGCTGCGCGAGCTGGACGAGCCGGTGACGTTGGTGCGGCGGCTGCTGGACCGCGGGCTGGAGGGCGAGCGCCGCCTGCGACAGCGCAACGACGACCTGCAGCGTGACAACGAGCGGCTCGCCGAGGAGCGCGGGCGCGCCATCCAAGAGTACGCGCCAACTCTCGAAACACCTCCTCCCCCCCCCACACTCCCGCCCCCCCCCCCCCACACGCGCGTGCCCGCGAGTATCTTGTCTACGCGTGCCCTGAGCCAAATTTAGCGCAATTCCACGTTCCTTTGATGGGGCTGAGTGTTTCCATAGGACAGCCGCTGTTGATTTTGCCACAAAGTGGTGCTCATTTTATCGACACCCACAGCCGCCAGGGTTTGAACTTCTGACCATGAGCCACTCGCTCATATGCTGAGCCACAGTTGTCAACTCTTATTTGCGCAAACGTTAACATCGTTCAATCGATATTTGAAGTTTTCGTGACTGCAGGGATCCATACTCTTTGGTTCTTTCGGTAAAGTCACGTAGGTATAAAATAAATTAAATTAAATCACGACGTTTCAATCGCAACACAAGCAATACAGCAGGACAACTGCTAGTTATTTTATTTTATACCTACGTGACTTTACCGAAAGAGCCAAAGAGTATGTTAACCTCATCTTCTTGGTTCTTTCGGTAAAGTCACATAGAATGGAAATAATAAAATAATAAAAATAAAACATAATAAAATAATGTTTTATTTTTATTATTTTATTATTTCCATTCTACGTGACTTTACAGAAAGAATTAAGAAGATGAATCCCTGCAGTCCCAAAAGCTTTAAATCGAAATTTATGTTAACATCGTTTTTGTAAAAGGTAGAGAAGCAAAGGTTTCTTTGAATCAATGCATACTATAATTATTCATGATTTAAATCCTGCACCCTTTCCTATCTCTCATCTCACTCCACTCTCCACTCCGCACTCTCCTACCGCTCACCTCTCATCCCACTCTACTCCCCTTCTTGCGCTATCTCTGCTCCCGCAACCAAGGCGTTCTGTCAAAATCTCCAGTCAACCTTCGCTCATTGGCAACTTGCTGATTGCCTTAGTGGCAAGTTGCTCGTTGCTTCCTTCCAATTCCCTGCAACTTATTGCCCTGTAGGTGGGTGTCTCATGCACACCGTATCACTCTGTGATCCACAAACCCCAACTCCCAAGTTGCCTGCATTGTGGGCGTTGCAACCACGGCGATTTCACCGAGCACTAAAATAAAGAAAATATCCCCAAAAAAGGTTTCGTGATAAGTTCCTTATGTTCTGCACAATGTGCATTTAATAAAATCCCGGGTAACTTTGGAGAGCGAAAAAAATAATATATACACATTGAAACTTTCCAAGCATAAATTTCACACAGGTGTCTCGTTGTAATATCACAAACGCTGAGCGAATCGTACGATGGAAATTTAATTTGGAGCTCTCTTTCGCTCATATTACCAATTCCCTAAAAAGAATAATTTTGGGACAGGGCCCAGGGTTAGGGTGGCGTTTCCACGGTCCAGCCGCTGGCAGCTCGTGACTGTCCCCCCCCCCCCCCCCGCCGCACATCATCCATCATCGTTACCGCTGGCCGACCAGCCTGGGAGGTTGTAATGACAGCGAAGGCTGAAGGCTGCTGGAATCCCTGCGTGTCACCCCACCAGGCACACTCCCGATTCATTACACACCACCTGCGTTGCTGTACAAGGGCCCCGTTTGACGGAACGTCCGAGTGAGGGGATGTCGAATTTTGAGTGTTGGTTTTATGTGTTTTTGTATTTTTTTCTGTTTCGCCAAGCATGTGCGACGTGGGGCTTGAGCGCAATGCGCGGTGACGTCCGCCGTCGCACAAACGCTCGCGTACGCACGTGAGCGTTTGCGTGTGTCTTTGTGGGGAGCGGCAGTGGAACGGTTAGCGCACCACGCTACGAAACCGGCGACCCAAGCTCAGTTCCCGCTCACGCCCAACACCAGTGACGGCTATTTGAAGCGGTCATGGGCCTCCTCTAGGTCGACTCAGCCTTAAATGAGTACTTGGTGCGATGTGTAAATGTCGCCACTTGGGAGACAAAAGCGGGCGGCCAGGCGGGCAATGCGCTGGCCACCCACCCCCTAGTGTGCCGTGCCGTCCTTCATAGGTGCTACTCGCTCACGGCACTTTCCCCAACAGTCTGCCAATGGTCTTTGCCTTTGTGCGCCTTTGTGCGTCTTTGTATTCTGTCCCGTCCAGGCTGAGGGCGTCCGTGGACAACAAGGATGAGCTGGAGAGGGACCTGTACGGAAAGTTCATCCACGTCCTCAACGAGAAGAAAGAGAAGATTCGGCGGCTCAAGGATACCCTGGATAAGCACGCCGCGGCCCAAGTGCCCCCTCCCTGCGCCAGGTCAGTGTCCAGCCAGGGCTCGCCCCCCGGGGCACAGGTGATTGAGTTGTGTAGGTCAATAAGAAGGAGTATAGTCTGGTCAGGTGATGGGTCGAACCAGGTCAGGGCTTAGCTGGATGGGTTCCTTCAGCGCAGGTAAAACCTCCGGTGCGGTGCGTGAGTTTAGTGTCCGGAGATAATATTATTGCACCTGTTGCCCCTCGGTAAGGAAGGTTGTAATTGAGAGAATAACCAAATGTTTTTGTGTTTAGAATCGCTCTCAAGCAACTTTGCAGTCTCTTTTGTTGACATCTGACACTAAAGTTTCATGTGCGTGTCAAAATAGTAAACGTTGAGTGTGTTGTGTAATCCACGGTTAACGAAACTCATTAACAGGACCGGACTGCTGATGAGAATCAGAACTCGAAGCCAGTCCAGACATTTCCTGCTGATACTAAGTGCAAATTACGATTTGGATTAATATAGTTTCTCAGGACCCAAATCGGATTGTCACTCAATATTTTATTTTACAATATTCCTTCATCACTGATGTTACAAATATTTCCCTTGCAGAACAGACAGTGAATCTCAGTGGGTTGTTATCACCTGTTTAAATAAAGAACACTCGAACCAATCAATAGGTAAGGGTCCGTTCACCGCGCCACACATGTTTTTAGTTCAACATCCTTTGGGCCTTGTGGTGGATCAGTCTTTTCCAAGAACGTTTTTTCAAGCAGGGAAAAACTCTGGATCAATTTGAACTCTTTGAACCTCATCAGCAGAGTCCAGAATATAAGGCGCCGCAGGTCAATGGCCTAAATTGGTGCTTTCTTTCAAGTTACTTTTGCGTGAGGATGCGTGCTCAACCCTCGTCTCTCTGTCAATGTATTACCCAAAATCCACGGACACAGCTCCGCTAATGGGTTACACCGGGTCAGTCAAGCAGAGGTGACTCGGTAATCATTGCAAGCCGGGCGGGTTTGGTGAGGTCGCGAGTTGCCCGGGCAATGGGCGTGAGAATTGTTGGCTTATCGCTTCCGTCCCTGCCATCGCATCGCGGGCCCCTCTTGTCCGCGAGCGACGGGCGACGCGTTAATCGCGCGGCACGCGCCGGGCGACGACGATGACGGCGGCGTCCGTCCCACCGGCGCTTCCGTTGCCGTTTTCGTCGAAGCGCCGGCGGCGTTGTTGGTGGCAGCTCTGCGGCCCGGGCGGCGGAGGGCACGGACGAGTCTGACTACGGGGGCACCACCGACGAGGAGAGCCAGGCCCCGGCGACCGGAACCGGCAACCGGAAGGCGGCGAAAGCCCCGAGCACCGTGTCCGTAACCCAGCAGGAGGGCGAGCGAAGAGGTGAGTGCTGCTGACAGATGCTCGCTGGTTTCCCACGCTTTCTCGCAGCTCCCCCCCCCCGCACCCCCCCCTCCACTTCCCGCTCTACCAAACCTGCGTGCACTTAACGCTCACTCACACTCGAGGCTCTGTAATAAGTGACCAGGCTGTTTGTTCACAGTGTGCGGGTGGGGGGGGAGTAGCAGGGTGGTGGGGGTGGGAGCAGTGCAATACCTGATGAGCAGATGTTGGATTGCTGGGGACTGGCAAGTCTAATAGAGGGAGTTTGCTATTTGATTGGGAGAGTCATTAATTGAGGTGGTCTAGTGGCCGGGGGAGTTTATAATGGCCACATCAGAGCAACGAGTCCGCTCTGCACAGATCCCGGGTTCAGTTCGGAGGCTGAGCTGCGCCTGATTGAACTGGATTTCTCAAGCATATCGGGTTGATGGTCTGTAAGCCTGGGCAATGACTGCACGGATAAGTCTTATTACATATGATTTGTAAATTAAGCCAGCATAATCCAGCTCTGAGAATATATATTATTTTTCGTTTAATCTACACGCGGCAAGCATTTTGCTGGGCATATACAAGGTGATGCCCTGAGAGAGAATAACAAGGGCATATCGAAGTGAATTAAGATGCAGTTAATCGATGTTGCGATACGGTTCCATTCTCGCTGTGCAAACATTGTATGGAAATAGTTTTCTCCCGTGCCACGACGTCGGATTGCGTGACTGCAATATATTTCGGGGAGAGAGTGCATTTTCTAAGGAGTCCGTAATTGACGCTGCCTTCACGCGCCGTCGCATTTGGAAGACTTGCTGCGTGCGTCTTAATCTGCCCCAAAGCGGGGGCCAACAGAGGCCCTCTTCATCACGTGCCGCGGACACGTGGAGATCACGGACTAAAGGGAGACCTTGACCTTGTCAGGGGGCGGCGGAGAGTTTGAGGCTCCGCGGTTCAAACAAAGAAAAAAGCGGCGGAAGCGGCGGAGGCGTTACCGACGACGTGAACTTGCCGCGAAATAGAAAGTAGGTCCACGTTTCCGTCTGCCGCCCGCGGGGGTTGCGTGACGGTCGGCCGGCTGGTGCGTCTCATCCCATCGCCTTCCCGCGGTTCAAAAGTGCGCGCACAGGCGGCCCTTTGTTCGTTTGTGTCGGGGGTGGGACGGGTCCTAGTCCGCTGTCATGACCCACAGTGAGCTGGTGGCGGGGGGGGGGGTCACGGCTGACTGACTTTTCGGGCGTGCGGGAGTCAGGGAGGGTCAGAGGGAGGTCGACCGGCGGGGGCGTGCGGCATTATTCTTTGGGCGGCAGGAGATTCTTGGAAGGAGAACGCTTTTGAGTGTCTGGGAGGAAGCTTTTCGGGAGGTCACGGTGGTAAAAATGGACAGAGATCAGAGGAGCGATCGGGACGCGACGAAGAGAAGCGGCTGATGTGCCCTGAGCCGCGGTTCGGCTTCGTTGAGATTAATCCTCACGCGTCTCAAAAGGAGCCGTCAATTTTCCGTCAAGCTCTCTTGCAGAAGAACAAAGCGGCGACCTGAATCGTGTGAAGGTCAGCGACGTAAGCACGGCATTGAAAATAAAATCTCCTTCGGCAGGATGATCATTGCGCATCGAACACGGCGCTTGCTGCTCAGCCCCTGTGGCGGCTGCGTTCCTTGTTCTTCGACACGAGCGCGTGATTAAGGTTAAAATGAGGACGGCGTCGGAATGAATTCCCACTCGCATTGTCCTGTTTTCTGTCAGCTCTCAACTCTCACCGTTTTTATTTTTTTTCCTTCCCCCCTCCCCTGTCGCGGTCTGTCTGAATAGGGTTTCCTTCCAACTAGCGTTGGGTGAGTCAAACATTTGGATTAAAACAATTTCTTATGTTTCCTTCTGTTATTTAAATAATTTTTGTTGTTTTAGCCACCCATTTTCCTGTGGCTATAACCCAAAGCTGTGTTTGCAGCATTATCACATTCTTGAATGTCCCTCTTGGGAACCATTAGGTTATTTTCTGTTCCATTGTATCCAAGTTCAAGGTGTATGTATAGACACACACGCGCTGCGCGCGTGCTCATGTTTGTTTTGCTGGGATTATGAGTTCAATTGCCCATCTGGGGTGGGGTCTGTGGCCCTCCGCTGCTGGAACAATGCTCGCACGGACAACACATCGCCCTCAGACGGGGTGCAGCTGACTTCCTTCGCCGGAGCTGCGTGACCCCCATTTCTTCCCCATCACCGTGTTTTGTGACAACGGGGGTCACGTACGCGCTCCGAAAAACAACGCCAAGCAAAATCGCACTATTTGTCGCAGCCGATGAAAATCGTCCACAGGAATTAATTTCAACATTAAAGTTAGCGTTTTTGTCTTTTTTTTTGTTTTCCATCTACGTATCTGTTTATCGCTGTCTCTGTCTCACTCGCCTCGATGCATGAAGTTGCGCCAACCTCGGCGTTTGCAGACTTTTACAGACGCATTTGCTCCTTTGTGAGTTCCGCGTTTTCATGCTGCTAATTTATATCGCAGAAAATATACCGCAAACGGCATTGCCAGTCGTCCCCTGCTGCCGAATTTGTCCACCGCGTGCAGTGCGGCGTGGGGCGACGGGGGCCCACCTGTGTTTTGCGTTCACATGCGAAAAGGGGGAGGGGGGGGGGACAGTGTCTAAAAAAAAAATATCCACAACCGCCCTGAGGTTTGCACATCCCAGCGGCGTCAGCAAAGAAATATTCCGCGTGTTTTTTTACCCTGACTTGCCCATGGCGGTAGGGGAAAGAGGAACGTTCTCCCCAGGGATTAATTAAATAAGAAAGTACGTTTCTAATTGTTTACCTAGACGGTTTTTTTTTTTAGACTGACAAATGAGAACATTAGTCGCGGAGCCTTTGCCACTGTTCACAGCTTGTCCCGAGGTTGCCCGAACGTTTCCGCGGAAAGCGAAACACAATGATTCCGCAGACAGGTCAGGATGCGCTGCCAAGGCTGGTGCGCACAACAATAGACATTGCCACAAATTATTTAAACGAACTCTTCTCTCACTTGGCTACCCCCGAGGTCGTTGCCGGCGACACTGCGGCGTGATTTACTGCTTTGGCGTTTCGCGGTTTTTATTTACGGAATCGCCCCTGGCAACCGATTTTCCCCTCTCTGTTATTATTATTAGTTGCCTTTTAATGTCGTAATACAAATATTTTTGTTACATCTGGTATTTAATTACTGGAAATATCCGAGGGGGTCGAAGGTCAGAGAGAAGAGGTTCCGCTCGCCCGCAGCCGGCGGGGACCCACGTGCCATCGCGGTGAGGGTGAAACTACCCCCCCCCCCCCACTCGCGTCTGGGATATCCTCCCGCTTCTTCCTGCTCCTTACACCCCCTTTCACCCCCGACCCAGCCCCCCCCCCCCCCCACCGTGCCGTGCTGTGAAAATTAACGCCGCAGTGCAGAAATACAACAACAGCCTCTTTTCTTCCCCAGATTCCCCGCGGCTCGTTCAAGGCTCATTTTCGCACACATCACTTCTCCGGAGTGACGTTTTTCACTGGAGGGGGGAGGGGGGAGGGGGGAGATTGATTTATGATTTATTTTTGCGTGTCTTTTTGCATTACCCGCAAGAACTGTTCCTAAGTGAAGTGTTCGTAAATGTTAGTTGGCATGCGATGGCGCGTCTATCGGAATCGTTTATTATTACGCTCGCGATGCGTGGATTGAATCGCCCGTGCGTAAGAGTCGATCATTTTATATTCCTGAACAGCAGTTTGCTGGATATACTAAACTAAAACTAAACAATTCTTTTTTATTTTACAAGGTAAGGCCCTGAGCTATATAGCTGTTTTTCAGAAGCGACCTGGCCACAAGTGATAGCACAACGAAGTGGCTTATCATGTGGGTCGGTATCGAACCCAAGGCGAGGGAGTTAACAACTCACCACCGTGGCACCCATACACGCATACCTCTTGAGCAGGCCCAGCTGTGCTTATATCTGAAGTTGTGCTCTTGCATCAGAAATTGCCTCATTGTGTGTCCCCCCCGCTACACCCTCCCGGTGTAACGTTAGCATGCGTCGCTTATATCAGAACTGTACTCATACACAGTGTGCTTTTATACAGCTTCTACAGTAATGGATTAATGCGATCCCCACAGTCGTTAAACACTGCTGAGTTCACCACAATGTAAAAATAATAATAATCAGTTCTTGAATCACAAACCCCTTAATCGCGTCAATTAATCGAATCGCCGAGGATGAATCGTTGCAGCCCAACAAGATTGGTATATCATGAATAATAGAATTGTGATGGTTGTTAGAATCGGATATTTAGGATTCATGACGATTATCAAAAAAATTCAAATATTTTCCGCTTGCAATTATGTCCGTATGAATCAAAGGCAAATGAACAAAGGAGAAATCGCAAAACAATGCAAAGCGAGACGCTGATAGAGAGTCGTGAATTGCTCACACGCCAACATAACCATTAGTGCCAAGTACACTTTAGCGGCACCGTGCAAGTCCTTTTTTTTCCTGCTTTCCGTGGCGCCTGTTAAACACGTCTTCAAACGCGTCCACCGATAAAAAGTAATAACAGGACCCCATGGCGCAGGGCGCAAAAGCGAGGCGGCCACCTGTGCATGTGGGCGTCCCGGGGCTCGCGATCGGAACGCCCGACCACCGCACCCGCGGGGACGTCTTTCCGTGGAAGCTGAGCGACGGGTCGCGCGCCCGCTCGCATCTCGTACTCCAGATAGAGCCGTCGAACCTGAGACTTCTCACGTCCCACTGGGCCCAGCGCAATAACCAATGACCACGCGCACACTGGCCCACTGCAATAACCACTGGGCCAGTACAATAACCAGTGGCTCAACAATAACCACTGGCCCACTGCAGTAACCACTGGGCCAGTTTCCACAATTGTGGGCTCTGTGCACAGAGCCTCCAGGGAATTCCTGCAGAGAGGAACCCAAGTGCACGGCCCGTCCTCTGCAAAGTGCACTTTAAACGGCCTGTGATGTCATCGTTAACAAAAGTGAGCGGCCGCGTTCCCAAACGACATCTGAGATATCCGCGGTAATATTTTAATTGCAATAACATTGCCTTCTCAGTTGCGTTTAATATGGTTGTAAAATTATCCATGGATTGGCATTATTTGCTTTGCTAGTGATTCACGCACCAAAGTGCACATATCAGTTTTGATGATTTTGACACATGTATCTTGTACGTAACCGATCCATGGAAACCCTGCTGCCACCCATGGAATCCTACATGATGCACCACATCATCATAGGCCATGATCAGTCCACTGCTGGATGACGACGGCCTCCCCGAGCCACGTAACGATCCCCTCTAGCCCCCCCGCACAAGGCGTTCTCGTCGATCCGTGTCCTCTCTCCCGGGGCGCGCTGCCTCCCTTGGCTGCCACTCCGTCGTTATTACCGACCACCGGCAGTGTCGCCACGATGAAGGTGGGCATCGCTTCTCAGCGTGTTCCACGCTCGATGCAACATTTGTTTAAACTCTCAAGCGGCTCCTGGGACTCGGGGAAATAAACACATCACGAGTAGGGGCTGTTTTGTTGTCGCGCAGGTTTTTTTTTGTTTTGCCCTGCATTGCTCCCGGGGGAGGAGGAGGAGGAGGGGTGGGAGTTTCGGTGGCCGCAGTCGGATGAGGAGCAGCCACCAGTGACCCCTAGGACAGGTTTCGCACCATTTTTCTTCTGCCCTTTCCTTCCCTGGGCCCGGCTCTTGATCCCAACGGAGAGCAGACCACCCTGGCTGCGGTGTCGCATCTCAATATTTACACATCTAACAGGACCGAAGAAGCGGTGGGTGGGGGGCCGTTTGGCGGACGAGAGAGGAAAAACAAAAATTAAAACGAACGCGCCACATGGTTTAGAGGATTCACAAGCTGCCGTTGTGCATCTGTGCGATCGCAATTAAAAGAGCGGCACGCGTGCCCCGTGGCCAGCGCTCGACCCATACCTCCCCCCGCCCCTGTGTCTGTGTGAGGCCCGAGACGCACACGTGTGTGGCCCACGTGCGTGCGTACATGCGCGCGTGTGCGTGCGTGTGGGCGCGCAAGCCCGAGCATCCCGTGCCCTTGTGTGAACGACGGACAAGGGGGGGAGGGGGGAAGCGTGCTTGGCAGGTCATCGCGTAACTCTACAAGTCGTTGGACGCGATGGGTAAATTTTTTTTCCGCGTTAATCCTTCTGCGAACTTCGCCCACGCCTTTCATCTGAGGGAGCGTCATCCCAGGACACTGTGTTCTCTCCACCGCCTTCGTCTTTGACGAGGTGACCCCTCGTCACCCGCTTCGATCGAGCTCTTGCCGCTTCTGTCCTCCGCAGGTGCCGTCACGGCTTTTGACCCGTATGACGACGACGACGACGGCGCCAGAGTCGGCGGAATGGACGCAGGCGCGGGCCCCACCAGGAGGCAGCGCAAACGACGGGGCCATCAGCAGGTGACCGTGACGGAGACGCCAGCAGCGGCGGTGCTGCCGCCGCCCGCCAAAACCAAGCCGGCCAATGAGTACGTAGAGGAACACGTCCGTGTGTGTTCCGTGCGTTCCGTGCGTGCAGTCTGCTCAGGTCTTCAGTTAGGTGGGCAGGCGGGGGGCGGAGTGGGAAGAGTACACAGTGAAATAAAATAAGACTCGCGAAACAACCCACTCGTTCTCTCTCTCTCTGTCCCACGTGATGGTCCCTTGGCATCCTCCTGTTAGGCTGCGGTCGTTCTGCTCCTCGGGATGCGATCGCTGGAGCGCAAGTTGGGTCCGACGCACCTGGCACGGTTTATGTTTTCCAGCGTCTGCCCACGACGCGACACCCCTAATAAGCTGGCCCACGTTACGAGGCCACTACGTTCATGCTGGCTCATCGTCCCAACACAAACAGCAGCGAAAGCATCTCATCTTCCTCCCTGTCTCTCTCTCTCGTGTTTACCGTTACCCAGATTTTGTGCTGAGCTTGCAGCTGACGACAAAAGGTCACCATCTGGCTTTCATTATTAGATTGTCCGGTATTGAACCTGCTTAATACCGCGTCTCTTCTGTTTATATCGCCTCCCGTATTTGTTGTTGTGCTCAAGGCACATCTCGC